TTTTCACGCAGTCTGAAAGCAACTGAAGTCCTACTGGCATGCGGACATTGGGCGATATTTAAACCAAGGCGATGAGCAAATGCTCTGAAAGAAGACTCTCCATTTGAGAACCAGTCGCTAAACAATGACCAACACACTGGTTGGTACTGGGGAAACTACTCCAGGGCAGGAGAGAAAGCTAAAGGGACTGGATAAAGTTACTAGAGAAAGTGACGCCTGAGTTTGGGCTTTCGGTCGGAAGGGTACAAGTGGAGTCATTTCTGAGGCGCCACGGCACGGTGCCTCGAGGAAGCTCCGCTGTGTTGGCATTTGCAGTTCAAGGAAAATGGGTCAGGGAGCCTTTGCGAGGTTGAAGTTATAGGTATGTGGCACGCTGTTTACCAGTATTTCTGACTGAAATTAAATCCTATGGGAGTAAGAGTATATTTATTTATTTTTTGTTTACTACTATATCCTCAGCACGCGGGACAGCTCCTCACGTGTGGAGGAGCTCCATAAATATCTGGCATATGAGTTAACAATGACAAAGAGGAGACAATGAACAGCCAGTTTTGAATTGATTCAAATTTGTGGGTGTTTTTGCTTTTGTTTTTGTCTTTTTGAGGTAGGGTCTCGTTATGCAGTCCAGGCTTCCCTTAAGCTGATTTTGTAGCCCAGGCTTGCCTTGAACTCGCAAAGATCCTCCTGCTTCAGCCTCCCCAGTACTAGGATTACAGGCGTGCACCACCACCCCAGGCCAAATTTGTGTTTTGAAATAATTATTTCCCTGGTGTTTGGAAGATGGCTGCGTAGACAGGTAAGAGGGTGACGGCGGTGGGAAAGCCCGGCTGGGCCTTAACAGCAAAGTGTCGTCACGAAGTAAAAGTGAGGGCAAAAACTCAGACAGTGGCAAATTAATTAAAAGTTCCCCATAGAGAAGACGGGAGGTCCCTATGCAGTATTTTGGGCCTCAAACTGGATATTTTTCAATTTCAGACCAAACCAATTTTCCATTTTCCTTGTCCAGAAAGATTTCCTAGCTCATCATCCTCAAATTCTTCCTCTTTCTGGTTTTAGATTTAAGCCTTGTTCTTGAATAAGACATTTATAAGACCAGTGGACGGAGGCCTTGTTTATAAATAAGGAGGGGAACAGAGGTTGTAAGGGAGGGGTGGTGAATGGGGAAAAAAAATGCTCAGAGGCTGGGCTATACTTAACGAATTTTAGAGAAATACTGCCATCTGCTGGAAAAATAGTGAAATTGTTTAAAATGGAATGCTTTGTTTCGTTTAAAAAAGTAGGTACATATCAAAACTGTTAAAAAATTATTTTTACCTAATAAAAGGCATCTATCAAATCTATCGAATAGAACTCCAAGAACATATGAAAAAGAACAATCTTTATTTCTTCAGTAATTGTCTATAGAAACAATTATATTCCTTATTACATAATTATGAAGGTTCTTACTAAAATAGCTCCATTAGTAAAATTAAAAGTCAAAATGGTTCACAGGTCTCAGTATTAAAACAGAAACACTAAATTTATTGGAAGACAAAGTAAGTAAAAACCTTGAAGACATAGGGGTAGGCAGAGAGTTCATGAACAAAAACCAAACTGCACGTGAAACACGAAAGAATCAACAACTGGGATCTCATCCTACTGAAAAGTTTCTGCACATCTAAAGAAATCACCAGCAGAGTAAAAAGAAAACCCACAAACTTGGAAAAAATTTTAGCTGACTGTCCCTCAGACAAAGGGCTTCTATCTAGAACACATAAAGAATTAAAAATTTCAGCCCCCCCAGATTCAAAGACCCAATCCAAAAATGGGCAGCTGAGATGAATACACACTTCTCAGATAAGGAGATACAAATGGCAAATAAATACATGAGAAAATGTTCAACATCATTAGTCATTCGAGAAATGCAAATTAAAACAACACTGAGATTCTACCTTACCCCAGTAAGAATGGCTAGCATTAACAAATCAACCACTAACAAATGCTGGCGAGGCTGTGGGGAAATAGGAACACTTCTCCACTGCTGGTGGGAATGCAGACTGGTGAAATCATTTTGGAGATTGGAAATCAGTTTAGAGATTCCTCAGCAAACTAGGACTAGAGGTCCCATTCAACCCAGGTATTCCCCTTCTGGGTATTTTCCCAGAAGATCTAAAAACATCATATCCCAGCGATACATGTGCACCTATGTTCATACCAGCACAATTTGCTAAATTGCTAAATTGTGGAAGCAACCCAAATGTCCATCCACCAAGGATTGGATAAGAAAATTGTGGTACTTTTATTTAATGAAATATTATTCAGCTATAGAGAAAGATAAACTAGAGGACTTTATAGGAAATGGTCACAACTAGAGACCATACTCATAAGTGAAATAAATCAGACCTGCATGTGCAAGCACCGCATTGTTTCACTAGTGTAAAACCTGAAAGACAACTTAAACTAGGAGATATGAAAGACATTGTGAAATGATAGGAAAATAGTCAAGGGTAAAGGGCAACTGGGATGTGGGAAAAGAGAAGGGAAAGAAGGAGAAATTTTGTATGTATGTATATGCAGGATAGTTAACATGGCTGTTCTACTGTCTTCTATTTCTTTGCTGAAAGAAACTGTTAATGAGTCCATGATTGATCAGTATTGCATGTCTCTATCTGTTTTCCTGAGAAACCGCTTTGAAGATATCCATATATAATACAACCACCATTGTTAATTCCCTACCACTTTGTTTGTAACTCTGTATTGTCTGTATTGTTCTTTTGCTATTTTGTAAAAGTTGTCTGTTAATGTTTTCCCCCTTTTATTTTTAAAGTAAAAAAAGAAAATGTAATACTTTGCTTTTCTTCATAGTTATTGATTATTCTGTAAAAGATAACCATAACTTTTACAATACACATTCAAAATAATAACAGTTCTGTAATTCTGCCTACTTGTGTCTTTCTTTACATATTTTTTTCTGGAATCAATTGTCATTATAACACTTCAGTAGTTAATGTGCTTTGTTTCCCAGATATGGAAGTTTTGAATTTTCTTTTCCTTCATTGTTTTGATTCTAGTTAGAGCCTTTTTTGTTTTTTTTTTTTTTGTACGGGGAATTGAACTCATGACCTTGTGTTTGCCAGACTGGCGCTGTGCCACTGAGCTATATCTCCAGCCCAGAACCATTTTTTAAAAGTTCTGCAACATACAATGTTTTAAGATATGCAGTGCATAATTGACACGATGAAACCAGATATAAAGAGATTAATTTTAAGATATTTAAACCTAGCTAGGTATAAACCAATTTTTCTGGTGAACTGTAAGATGCCCTGGGAAGCAGAGAAAGAAGAAGTCTCCATGTTAAACTCCATGTTCTTCCCTTCTTACTGCACCCTGAAGTCATATCCTTGCCAGAATTCCCAAGATTCTTCCTTTGACTTTGAGGAGTTTTGCAGGATTCCTGGGTTTTTTCTAAGCTCTGGTCTGTCTCAGTGGAACACACAGTGGGAAAGTCTGCCTGATCTTTATTTCAATTTCTCCCTAAGATGCTGTAGCTCTCATTTTTCTTGCTTCACTGCTATTTACTGCAGCACGTGGGAAAGTTATGATCCTCTCTCACAGTCTGAACAAGAACTTAATCCCAAAGTCCTGGCCTCTGTCTGTCTAAACATGAGAAAGAATAAGGCAACTAGTGAACCAGAAAGGCCTTCAGTAATCCCGGTGTGAAACTCTGCAGGCATGGGCTTGAGTATCGATGTGGAATAATTAGCCTGTTAGATAGGGTCAGGCTGAAATGCATTATCAAAAAATCCAAATATAGAAATTGACTGATGTTTATTTCTCTCAGTTTATGATGAATAATTGGTTTTATTCCTCTTGGAGACAGGAGTGTATCTTAGGCTGGTATTTCCTAAATTTATTCCAGGTGTCATCCTTTCTACTAACAGAAAGGAAAAGAAAATGAGTAAGCAGGCGAACGTTCCCTAAGCAAGGGAGATGGAAGTGGCACACCTCAAGTTTGCTGATTTTCCACTGGCACAGACTTAGTAACATCGCCACACTCTGCCGCAACTAGCTGCAACCTTGCACATGAGATTAAGAAGAAAAGTGAACTAGAGTACAGGGAACCTCCTCAAAATGCCCAGTGGTTAGGAAAGAGCAATTACAAAAATGTTGAGGAGTAAAAGAGCTCAGTGTGTCAACTGGAGAAGTCTAGAAGTTTAATTAAGTGGCTCAGCAGGGGGCCAGGGTCCTCAGTTTGTAAACATTCTGAGCCTGTGCAGAGGAGGACAGGGAGATGGTGTGAGCACTACACCCACCTGGGGGCAGGTAGCCTGCTTACAATACAAGGGAGGAAAAGAGGCTTGTTCTCCCCAGATTTTTGCTTTTGCTGCTTTTGCTGTCTTCTGCCACCTTGAACCATTGCCCCTGTGCCATGACACCCTGCCTTGGAGCCATCTGAGTATGGATTGAACCCTCCACAGACTGCTAACTAAATAAACCTTTTCTTCCTTAACTTTAGGCATCAGGTATTTTGTCCCAGCAACAAGAGAAAAGTAACCAAGACAGCTTGGATACAGTTTCAATATGCAGGAGTATGGAAAAAAATCAAGAAACTCCCGTTGGATGGGAGAATCAAATCATAATGATAATCACTGGATATAGAAAATTGAGAGAAACAGCTTAGAGGAAAAATTCAGAAATTTAATACCTAATGATTAACTTTAAAGCAATAGAGAACGTATGTGTGGTTATAGCTGGAAGTCCTGGATAGCACAAGCTACGCAGACTTGAGCATAAATGAGAATTTGAACATGTTAAAGCAGATTTTTACAAACTAAGAATATAAAGCGTGAGCTCATGGAGATCAACACAGGAAGAAATTCCTAAAGCGGTGCTACAGGATATAGAGTCAAAAAGGATGAAAACTCAGTACACTCAAGAGCAGTCAGCTTTGTAAAGAGAGCACTCATGCTAACTACAAAAAGCAATTCAAGTCAAAGAGTTAGATCGCAACCACTGCGTACCTGAGCAATGAGCCAAGAGAACCTGTGGTGATGTCTGTCTACGATGTCAGCAGTGATGGTCTTGTGCTGGTTTTCCCAGTTCTAATCCCCACATGCTGGAAACAGTGTCAGCAGAAATAAAGACGTGCTGACCTAGACATGCACAAGATGTGCTATTCTTAGTTACATATTTTGATGAGGAAGACCTATATTTCCTCTTTCTCTAAACAAATATTTTGTTCTAAACTCAATCAAATAAAGTCTAGGGGTGGCCATGATTTATTCAGTTCCTAACTAGTTAATTAATGGTTCAATGATAAAGCTTTATAAATGTTATAAATGCTATAGAGATGGACAGATCATAATAATTCACCTATCCATAGGTATTATTTTTCACTCAGTAAACTCTAATGGCTTCTGGTTGGTGTTTTTGTATTTCTTTTAAGTACGAGGAGAGGAAGCACACAAATCAGAGTGTGTCAAGGGATTAAATTAAAACCTGTGATCGAATTTTATTGATGTGTTTGCATGGGGTGGGAAGAACAAAGGAAGCACAGAATTTTCATAGAGAAGATGAATTAGACATAATCTTTGAAGGATGATTAAGACAGGACTAGTAAAAATGCAGTGAAAGTAGGAAATATTCAAGAGAGGTAGAGTATAATGCCTATTAGCTTTTCAGGAAGGCATAAGGGGGCATGGATCACAGTGGCAAAAATGAGAGAAAAGTAGACGAGTAAAATAAATGGCGAATGTGATGGATCACTCATGCAGCCTTTATTGAATTTGCTTTTTCTTATTTTTGAAGGCAACGGCAGCCATATTTATTGCACTAAGTGGGAATTCAAATTAGAAAGGGAATCTCAGGCAGGGAGATTGCTTTCAAAGTTTAATGTGTTAGCTCATAAGAAATAAGTGTGGTCTAAACTTCAACTGGCTCTGGGAATGGGGAATAATGCCAGCATACGAGAGATGTACCCAGTAAAAATTAAACATGCCGGCACTGGTACGTTAGAAAGAGTCAAAGATGGGACTTGAAGCCAAGTGCGTAAAACTTAATTAAGATCGTAATATTATTTCATATCCTATAAGCGTCAGTTTTGTTGCTTCTCTTGATCATCAGAATTTGAAAAGTAAGCATTATTAACTATGATCTCTAACCTGGGAATGAAGAAAGAGACTCAGGAAAGTATGTTTATGTGAAAGCGAGAGCCATCACAATCCCCAATTTGAAGTAATACTACAAAGCGCCCATGATAAAAGCATCATGGTACTGGCAAAAACAAAACAAAACAAAAAAACAAAACCAACTAGTCAAACAAACAAAAACACAGACTCGAGGATCAACAGAACAAAAAGAAGATATAGAAATGACTGTAAGCACACTCAGCTATTTTATCTTTGACAAAGGAGCCAAACATTTTCACTGGAA